ACTTTGTTAAACTTGTCAAGTTTGTTTGTGAGCGCAATAGAAGCTACAGTGTTCAACCGATTCTGATGAAACTTGGTGTGATCATTGAAATTGATAAGATCTGGGACAAGTTTTAACTTGACGCATTTACGCTGAACGGTTTTTATACACCCACATGTATATTTGGTGATTCCAAAAAGAAAAAACAGGCAGCAATAACCAATCACAGAAGATTTTTTGATGGGATCACCAATCTTTGACCCTTCTCTTGTTATGTGGTTTCTAAGATTGTGATGTCATAAACCTTATGAGGTCATATTGTAATTTTAATCTTAACTGCCTTCCACCATTTGTAGTTTGTTTCTTTTCTTGATGAAGTCAAAACTTTTTTGACGAAAAGTTGGGTATTAAAGGATGGTATTTTATGTCAAGTTTTATTATTTATTACATATGAATATGTAGTCGTATATTGTTGTTGCCCCTGTCTGTCGTTCCATCTGTCATCATCTCTTGTGAGCACTATAGAGACTACAGTTTTTATCTGATTTTGATAAAACTTGGTGTGATGCTTTAGATTGATAAGATCTCGGTCAAGTTCGAATTTGACATATTTTCGATGAACGGTTTTTGGATATTGCCCTTGACTTTGAACGCCTTGAAATTTGTTAAAAATTGTTCGTGAGCAGGATTGAAGCTACAGTTTTCATCCGATTCTGATGAAACTGGGTGTGATCATTGGTATTTATAAGTTCTCGGACAAGTTCTAACTTGACGCAATTTTCGATGAACGGTTTTTGAGTTATTGCCCTTGACTTTGTAAAAACGCTTTGAAATTTGTTAAAAATAGTTCGTGAGCAGGATTGAAGCTACAGTTCTCATCCGATTCTGATGAAACTTGGCATAATCATTGGAATTGATAAGATATCGGACAAGTTATAACTTGACGCATTTGCAATGAATGGTTTTTGAGTTATTGCCCTTGACTTTTAAAAACGCTTCGAAATTGGTTAAAAATAGTTCGTGAGCAGGATTGAAGCTACAGTTCTCAACCGATTCTGATGAAACTTGGTGTGTTATTGGAATTGATAAGATCTCGGACAAATTCTAACTTGATGCATTTGCGATGAATGGTTTTTGAGTTATTGCCCTTGACTTTTTAAAAACGCTTCGAAATTTGATAAAAATAGTTCGTAAGCAGGATTGAAGCTCCAGTTCT